ATGTTTTCTACCTTTATCTTGCATCTACCTACCACTTCAGCATTTCATTAAAAACAATAATAATAATAAAGAGAGAAATGTGGTATCCACATATAAATCAAGCATAAAAATCAAACGAATATTCATATTTGGACTGATTGTTTATAGTTCATAATGCATGATCAAAACCGAAAGTTTCTGTGGTGACTGCCCTTGTACTGTTCACCATGTAACTTATTCACTATGTAAGAATTTGTTCTCCATGTAAGAACTTGTTCGTTATGCTTCAGAAGATGGAGACTGATGAAAATTAGGCTTGGGGTGGATTAATGATTGTGCATTGAGCATTGACTCCCCTATACAGAATTTTATTGTTGTTAACAACCATTTGATCAAGAAATAGGAGAGATGCTCTCACAAAAAAAAAACAAAAAAACAAAAAAAAAAAGTACACACTTCCAATTGTAAAATAAATAAGTAACCAGGATATAATGTATAGCATAAGAAATGTAGTCAAAATATTGTGACAACTTGGTATGGTGATAGCTGGTACCTAGAATTATCATGTATATAAATGTTGAATCACTGTGTTGTACACCTTAAATTAATGTAATACTGTGTGTCAACTACCCTTCAATAAAAAATAATTATCTACAAAAAAAAAAAAATCTGTAAATAAAGGGTAAAAGTCCTACCGTGACTGTCAAATGTTGGGATTGAACAAGTGGAATTTTCTCCACATATTTCAAATGGATGAGTATATGTGGCTAGGATATTAACCTGAAGTTGACATGGGAACCATAATCTAGGGCCATTTATTCCAATTACTTCATTTGGGATGAAGTCTTCTGCAGCTATGGCTACCATTATACTGACCAAATACATAGTTCTTCTCAGCAGCTGCACTTGATAAATGTGCTTGTCCAAGCCTCACTTGCCAGAACTCAAGAGGTTTAACCAATGGATCTGTTGAAGCTTCATCCAACAATAAGTTCTGTGATTCTGTTTATAGCACTGGATGGCCAGCGAGCGACCCTGTGATTAGAAGAAGCCCCACCATGCATTTCTGAGACACAAGGAGCCAAAAGGAAGGAGGGTGGAATAGAGGAAGGAGACACAAAACTCACGGTCAAGTCAGCAGATGAGCTCATCATGTGGGCTCCTGACTACCTTCCAAAGCCAAATATAAATAATATTCATTGGTCAGCTGATTGCAAAATCTGTGCTCAAATAAGTAGCTGGCAAACTGATTTCCAAAGGAAAAATGGATTCAGAATGGTCAAAGCTTCTGTGGCAAGTATTTTCAAAATCACATGATTATTGCACAAAAGACATTTGCTAGGAACTTTTTATCACAGAGTTATTAAAGTCAAGAACAAACACAGGAGATTTGCCAAAGGCTAAAAGCTTTGCTTAGTAAGTGGTGTGGCTAAAAAATGGCTGGCCTTGGGTGACCGAGACTGTGCCAGGGGTGGCTGCCCAAGGCAACTCTAGAAGCAGTGCTCTCTGCTTGCTTTGCCTGAGAACCCAGCACTTAACTCTGATTTATTATCATTAATCAAAAAAATCATTCAAGTTCTGTTTTAATGACCCTAATCTAAAACATTACCTATTTTTATACCCAGAAATTTTGTTCAGCACTGGTCTTTAGATCTTATTATTTAAAGATCACTGTGCACCCTCTCTTTGCTTTGATGATCTTTCATCAAACTTTGACCAAAACTACAATAAAATTCAAACATCCACAATTTAAACTCTAATCCCTCTCCAATCAAGATTTTAAAATATATTTAAAGGGAAAGTTTTAATGAATATAATAAATTTTACCTTGTCTTGTTCAAAATTAATGTCTTGTTCAAAATTAATGTCTTGATATTTGAGCAATGAGTATTATTTTTGTCATTTAACAAAACAATTAGAGTTGCATCCCATTTTTTAAATAGGTATAAATTAGGAATATAGTACAGAAATTGGTTACAAGAACAGAGACACTATTTGCCTGCATTGGTGGAATTACGGTGGTTTTCAACGTTCTTTTTCTAATTTGTAGTTTTCTGTACTTCCTGTAATGAGCACTCGTTGCTTTTGGGGGGGAAAAAAGAATAAAAGAAACCTCATCTAGGAAACAAATGAATTAGGAATTGTTTCTGCAGCCTAGACGCCTGGCATTCACTCCCCTCAGGTGCTCAGACTTTGCCTGAAGGTCCATTTCCTTCTGAAGGCACGTCAGGTGAGCAGTGAGGTCCCTGAAGAAATGTTCTGGGTCCCAGCCCTGCAAGGTAACCATGACACCAAAGGCTCAATTCCAGTTTACACCTCTGAGACCATCTGAAGGGTTCTAGAGAACTTTAGTGATAAAATAAAACATTAATTCAGATTTCAGATTCCATTCAGTCTGAGATTTGCAATGAGTTCTTGAGATATGTTCTTTCAAGACTGTAGTACCCTTTTCCTGTGCAAATTTTCAGTATTTATTTTTGCAAGAAAATCATTTAAAATGTGGCTTTAAAATAGGGATGAAAATAATTAAGATTATTTCAAAGTCTCTTCTGCCAAGGCTAACAATTCACTCATATTTTTAGAGTCTAAAAATATGTAAGATAACATTATTACTAATAATCTAAAATGGGCCTACTCTGAACCACGGTTCATCTCCATAACTTCAGGTTGGCCAGTGGTTGAGAACACACCTGTGAAAGGCACTCTCACTAAATTCTAATCCTGGCTTTACTCTTACCAGCAATGACCTTGGAAAAGCAGCAGATAACCCTGAATCTCAGCTTTGTGCAGGGAAAATAAGAATTCTCAACATCTATCTCCCGAAGGTTTGGAATGGATTTCATCAAAGGACTGCCTGACACACTGTAAGCTCTAAAACATCACAGATGTTATTACTCCCTCCTGATAGCAGCAATGTCTTATATGTGCCTACTGATTCAAGCTCTTCAAGATGCTTTCAGATCTTTTACCTCATTTGATATTCAGGCAGCCCTTTCAGTACAAAAGCAGTAATTACTGTCCCCATTTTTCTTTTTTCTTTTGTTGTAAACAGGTGAGGAAACTAAGGCTTTAGGACTCAGAGAGCAGATCCAGGCCTCTCTGCTCAGTGACAGATACTCATCTGAACTTCAAAAGGCTCCGTGCACCAAGCCCCATCATGTTGGCAGCCGCGCTCAGAAAATAGCGCCCCATGCAGGGCAGCCGGAAGGCCCCGAACTTCCTAATGACAAATCATCCCACACCACTAAACTACATGCTAATTGCGCCTTGGCATAAGGACCAATGAGACCCACCAAATGGTTATGCTAATAAGGCATATGGAGCCGCACCAACCAGGTCAGAGCATGAGAACTATATAAGCAAGCCTCTCCTTCCCCTCTGGGTCCTGCCCAACTCATTTGTTTCACAAAGAGCTGAAGAATAAAGCTTTCTGCAGAAGAATCCTGCTGTTGTTGCATGCTGTTCTTGCCGGCGAAGACAGGGCACGCGACACCATCATAGCAAAATTACGTTCTTTTCAAAAACTCCACTTTCAATGCTTTAATCAAATCAAACTGGTGTTCCCGCATCACTCTAACTTATTTAGGTTTTGTTTTGTAAAAATAGCAACTTGGGTTATTTAGAGCTTATTGATGTCTCAAGCAGTGGTCTAGGAGCTTCATTCCACTGCCCCATTGAAACCCCATAACAATCCTATGAGGTAGGCATTGTACTGTCCCCATTTTACAGTTGAGGAGACTGAGGTCCGACTTACCCAGGATTGAGATGCAAGCAGACTGTCTCCAAACCCCAGCTCTTAGTCCTCTGGTATTATTCAAATCACATTTGTCCAACCGACCATACAAACACTTTGCAAACTGCTTTCACACACAACAAATCTACGAGACAGAGAAGGCAGGTTAGTAGGGTTCTCTTTTACATTTGGGGAAACCCGACGCTACGAGACGTGAAGGGGTATGTCTAAAGTTATCCGGCCCCCTTCTGGCTCAGCAAGGACACAACGCCTCACTCACGGACTCCAAATCGCACTCTCTTCCGAAGAGTCGCAAATTCCTTTGCATATACTGTAAGAGTGAGATGGTCGAAGCCCCGTCATTCTTGGAAAACACCCATCCGCTTAATGGCCTCTGTGTCAACACTGCGAGTTGACCCCGTGACTCGTGCTCCGGGCGGTAGAAATGGAAAGAGCTCCCCTGAGCCCGGCTGTGGGCGTTACTGTCACCAAGTTGGAAGTGGGAGGTGAAATTGTTTGCAGAGCGGCCCCTGGGGAGGTGCCAGCTTCGCGTTCCAGATCCCACCCCCCAGGTCCCCGACTGGCCACAGGGCGTCCCCTGTCCAGGGTGGGGGCGCAAATGATAGTTCGCCCCGGCTGCTCGGATCCCCTCCACGCCGCCGCCCCTTCCTCGGCCACCCGGATTCGCTACCGGGGCGGCTCCGAACAGGGAAACCCGCTCTCCGGGCTTGCAGCGCAGTCCTGGGTCAGGGACCCGGCCGGGCTCGCGTGGGCTGGCAGCCGCGCACCAGCTCCTCTCCCAACCCGCACGCCACGCCCCTGCCTCATTTCCTACACCTCGAAAGGAGTGCGTGGGACCCAAGTTGTTAGTAGAGGCTCTCCCTGAACCTGCACGATTTCCAGGGACAGAGGGCGCCCTCCTCGCCCGGGTCCCACGGCCTCGCGGGGCTGCGGTGACAGTACCCTACCTGCGCGGAGACCCACGCCGCCACCAGCATGCGCCCTGGGGACCCGCGCCCGGCATGCGCCCCGCCAGCTGGTCCCGCTGCGCCTCCGCCGCCTGCAGCTCCCGCCGAGGGCCGGCTGCGTGAGCCCAGCAGCGGGCGGGGAAGGAGCCGCCGGCTGGACGGGAAGTGGGGAGGCGCCAGGCGAAGAAGGGGAGGCAGCTTCCTCTCCTCGGGGAGGCGGGGCTTCCTCTCCAGCGGCGCCCCTGCACACACTCGCTCACACGCGCACACGCCCGCGCCCGCAGCCTGTCCCCTTGGCCTCTCTAAGAGTCTGCTTTTCACTTTCGCTCACTTCTGGGCGAAGAGAGAGGGGAAGCGCGCGGGGTCGGGTGTACAGGGGATAGATGGGAGACCTTTTGTGGGGTGGTTTCCGAGGGCACCTCCTAGACGCGTCATTAGGGAAGTGACCGAAGGGTTGATGAAAGTGATTGAGTGGGTGAGAGGTGGGAGAAGGTAGGGAGGTGGCGGACCCCACCGGGAAAGAGTTGCCGGCGGGGGTCAGGTAGGGAAGCAGTGCAGTAATTGTTTAAAAGTGAAATGTGAATCCAACTTTCTGAAGCTTCTGGCAGCACGGGGCTGCTCCCGGAGCCCCCACCCCAGGTTGGGCCGACCCCCAGACTACGCTCCTAGGCCAGCCCACCCACCTCCTTCGCCCCTTCTCTTTGGCTCATTCAGGAAGGATCCAGAGCAGCCTCTGGGTAGCACTGTCAGAAGTGATTCTTTGCTTCAAGGAGCTCACCTCCTGTCTGGAAGATAATATATGCAGGTAAAACGAAATGCAACTTACACGTGCCAAGAGCCAAAGGCTTGCCACAGGAAGTGTTGCAGATATTTGGGGGTAATGGGGAGTGCTGTGAAGCAGAAGGATCAGGAAGACTTTCTGGGGGAATGAGATGGATGTCACTAGACCTGGATGAGGGCCACAGTCCTTTAAAAGATAAGAACTTTGTGAGTGGAAACACAGAGATGTGCTTAAAGTCAGTGTGTCATGCGACAGAACCAGTATGAGAGTGGACGGTAAAGATGTGGGAAATGGTGGAAGGGATGTAAGATTGGATGGGGCTGAAGGGAATGACAGAGCCCACTAAGCAGAGACCTAAATTCAGTGCTGCAGTTGGAGAGATTAGAAAGGTCTCTCACAGTTTGTTTGGTTAGTTGACTGAAACATGTACTGAGAAGTGATCACAGTAAATGAAGTGGAAATTCCAGAAATGCCTTGTTATCCTGTAAAGGAAATATCCAGAGGCTTAGGGAGATTGGAATGTTAGAGTGGGTTTACCTTGTAAGACCTGCTCGCCTCCTGGAGGACACACCTTTCACCACGACTCTGGTCATGTATCATCTCATCATACAGCTTTGTGGCCCAGAGATCACTCTTCTCTGTAGGTCAGAAATCATAGTGGGAACTGTGACCACTCAACTGAGATCCCCAAACACAGTGGGGATGATTGGATCCTAAGGTGCCAGCGATCACCAAAGGCAAGGTGAGTATGGTTTCGGTAATGAACAGCAGTCAAAGCAGAAACCAGAACAGTGACTCCCGAACTCATTCGGATTGGTAGGCTGATCATGATGTTTCTACAAGTCAAATAGACAGAAATTCTACTACACTCTTACTTGAAAACTCCTAGATCAAGTAAACAAATGCTTAACTTGCTTTTCCAAAACAGAGAGACTCAACCCTTCAATCACCAGCCTGAAGACCCTGTACTCCTTGAATGAAGGAGGAAAGACCCCGAAACAGTGCCAAAGTTTTATACAGTTTTTCTTCCAGCCTACCCCCAAAGGGACATATGGCCTTTTATCAGGGTGACTGTGCATTGGGAAAAGGAAAAAATCAGACTTTTCAGGAATTACTGGACAGTAACTCTGAACTGACACTAAATCTGTGAGACCCAAAACATTGTGACTCACCAGGCAGAGCACAGACTTTTAGAGGTCAGGTGATCACAGAATTTTATCTCAGGTGGGTGTTTGCACCCACCCTGCGGTTATTTCTCCATTTCCAAGATGCATAATTGGAATAGACATATCAGCAAGTGGCAGAGTTGGTTCCCACACTGGTTCCCTTACCTGTGGAGTAAGGACTATTATGGTAGGAAAGGCCAAGTGGAAGCCACAAGAACTGCCTCTACCTGGGAAAAGAGTTATCCAAAAGCAACAGTGCATTCCAAGAGGGATTGAAGAATTTGGTGCCATCAGTCAAGAACATGAAGGATGCAGGGGTGATGAATCCCACCATTACCCCATTCAACTTACCCATGTGGCTGGTACAGAAGACTGATGGAGCACGGAGAATGATAGTGCATTATCATAAATTTAACCAGAGGGTGATTCCAGTTGCGGCTGCTATACCAGATTTAGTTTCATTGTTTGAGCAATTAACACATCCCTATAACTGGTATGCAGCTATTGATCTGGCAAATGTTTTCTTCCATACCTGTTATAAAGCCCACCAGCAGCAGCTTCTTACAGCTGGCAAGACCAACAATACACCTTTGTTGTCCTACCCCAGGGTATATGAACTCTCCAGACCTACATCACAAGTTAGTCAAGCAGGGACCTCATCCCTTTTCCCATTCACAAGACTTCACAGTGGCCCATTACATTGATGGCACCATGCTGATTGGACCTAGTGAGCTGGGAAGTAGTAACTCTAGGCTTATTGATGAGACATTGCAGTCATGGGGTAGAAAATAAACCTGACAAAAATTCAGGAGACTTCCATCTCAGTGGATTTTCTGGAGGTCCTGGGGCATGGGGGATCCCTTTGATGGTGAAGGATAAGTTGCTGTATTTAGCCCCCCACTACAATCCAAAAAAGAAAAAGAAAAGGCACAACACACAAGGTCCTCTTCAGGTTTTAGAGGCAACATGCTCCTTATCTGGGTGTGCTACCCAAGCCCAGTACCAAGTGACCTGAAAAGCTGCTGATTTTGAGCAGGGCCCCAACAAGAGAACTCTGCAACAGATCCAGGGTTGCTGTGCCAGCAGCTCTGCTACTTGGGCCGTGTGACCCAGCAGATGCAGTGGGGCTGGGAGCATGAGTGGTGACAGAGATACTGCTGGAGGCTTTGTCAGGCCCCTACAGGTGACTCATACCACAAACCTTTGATTTAGGAGTAATGCCCTGCCATTCTCTGTGGATAACTTCTTTCATTTTAAGAAATAGCTTTTGACTCATTACTGCCCTAGTAGAGACAGACTGCTTGGCCATGGGCTACCGTGTTACCATACATCGTGAATTGGGTGTTGTCTGTCCTACAAACCATGATATTAGGTGTGTAGAGCAATGCTCTGTCATCAAATGGAACTGGTATATAGGAGACCAGCTCAAGCAGACCCTGAAGGCACAAGAACGTTACATGAGAAAGTGGCCCAAGTGCCTGTAGTTTCCACTCCTGCTACATCGCCTTCTCTCTCCCAGCCTGCACCAGTGGCCTCATGGCCATCTTCCTATGATCAGTTAACTGTGGAAAAGAAAATTCAGGCCTGGTTTACAGATAGTCCTGCAAATATTCAGGCACCATCCAAAAGTAGACAGCTGCAGCACTACAACCCCTTTCTGGGACTTTTCTGAAAGGCAGGGTGGAGGAAAATCCTCCCAGTAGGCAGAACTTTGAGCAATGACACTTTGAGCAATGAAAGTTTAGAAATGAGAAATGGCCAGAGGTATAAGAGAGAGTATGCCAGTTCATGAACTGTCACCAATGGCTTGACTGGATGGGGTCTGAAGGGAACATGATTGGAAACTTGGTGACAAGGGGATCCAAGGAAGAGGTATGTGAATAGATCTTTCTAAATGAGGAAAAAACTTGAAGATATTTGTATCCCATGTGAATATTCACCAAAAGGTGATCTCAGCAGAGGAGGATTTCAATCACCAGGTAGATAGGATGAACTATTATGTATCTACCAGTCAGCCTCTTTCCCCAGGCACTGCTGACACAACCCAGTGGGCTAATGAGCAAAGTGGCCATGGTGGCAGGGATGGAAGTTATTCATGGGCTCAGCAACACAGACTTCCACTCACCAAGGCCACCCTGACTGTGACCACTGCTGAATGTCCAGTTTGCACCAGAGACCAACAACACAGCACTATACCAGGGTAATCAGCCAGTTTGTGCCTTGGTGGCAGGTTGATTATATTGGACCACTTCCGTCATGGGAAGGGCAACATTTTGTTCTTATTGGAATTGACACCTATACTAATACCTTCCCTGTACACAGTGCTTCTTCCAAAACTACCATCCATGGATTTTTAGAATGACTTGTCCACACAGCTGATTCAGGAACTCAATTCACTGTGAAGGAAGTGTGGCAATGCTCACAAAGTTCCCTAGTCTCATCTGAACTTTGTGATGTTCCCTATCATCCTGAAGCAGTTGGTTTGCTAGAACAATGGAACGGGTTGTTGAGGACTCAGTTATGGTGCCTGCTGAGTAGCAATACCTTGCAGGGCTGGTTTGCCAGGAGGCTCTCTGTATATGCTCTGAATCAGCACCCCAATATATGATACTGTTTCTCCCATTGTCAGGATTCATGGGTCCAGGAATCAAGGAATGGAGATGGCAGTGACCACTCACTATGAGCTCCAGTGATCCATTAGCAAAGTTTTCCTTCCTGTTCCCACAACTTAATGCTCTGCAGGACTAGAGGTATTAGTTCCAAAGGGAAAGAATGGTTCCACCAAGAGACAAAACAGTGATTTCATTTAACTGGAAATGAAGATTGCCATTTGGCAATACTAGTCTCCTCATGTCTCTGAATCAACAGAAGAAGGGAGTGTGGTGTTGGCTGGGATGATTGATCCTGACTACCCAGGGGAAACTGGACTCTACTCCACAACAGAGGTAAAGAAGAGTATGTCTGTAATATAGGAGATCCCTTAGAGCATCTCTTAGTGTTATCATGCCTCAGAATTAAGGTCAATGGAAAACTACAACAGCCCAGTTCAGGCAAGGCCTAGACTCTCTAATAATGAAGGCTTGGGTCATACCACCAGCCAAACAGCCATGACCTGCTCAGATGCTTGCTGAGGGCAAAGAGAACTGGTAGTTTAAGAAGTTAGTTACAAATACTAGCTATGACCATATGACCAGTTACAGAACTGAGAACTGTAATT